CTGAAACTCAGCACTGTCCTCTGCAGACAGAACATCGCTCAGGCCACTGCCAGCCTGGTAATGCTAAATGGACTCACTCCTAGATCCAAGAGAGAAATCAGAAAACTTGAGTTGTTTCTGCCACTGTTCAGCTTCTCCCCTTACCACCAGTATAAGTTTCCAGTGGCTGCTGTAACAAACTGCCATAGCCTTTGTGGCTTAAGACAATATAAATCTAGGGCCGGGGATTTAGCTCAGTGGTTTGGTGGCCTGCCTTGCAAGTGCAAAGACCCGAGTTCAATCCCCGGTACCAAAAAAAAAAAAAAGACAATATAAATCTCTTCTTTCCAGGTCTGGGAGTCTGACATCCAGTTGTCAGCAGAGCTGTCTTCCCTCCTGAGCTCTCGGGGAGACTTCTTCCTTGTCTCTTCCAGCTCCCGATGGTTCCAGGTGTTCCTTGGAAGCTCTGTGTTCATCCTTACATCACCTGCTCCTTTTATGTGTGTCCATCTAATCTCCCTGTACCTCACTCATTTAGGCCTACTTGTGATGACATTTTGAGTTCACCTGGATAATCCAGGATGATCTCCTCTTCTGAAGATCCCTAACCTAATTATACTTGCAAAGACGCTTTTCCTAAATAAGGTAACATCCACAGGTCCCAGGAACTTGGATGTACTCATATCTTTGGGGAGAACCTTGTTATCCACTGTATCATCTTTGAGAATTGTAGGAAAAGAAAGGCTTTCTCTTTCCTGCTCCCAGGAGCACATCTTTGGATCTAGGCCTTTCTGTTCTACGCTGTAGCATCTTCTCTCCAGTTTTTTCTAGGCAGTAACACTTAAAAAATCAGAAAACCTGGGGCACACTCTAAAAAGGTGTGTTTTTGCACAGTTGTCCTCCTTATTTGGTCAAAATTAATAAACTAAGCCCAGCTGCGTTTCCAGTTTAGGCCAGAGCGCCCTCCCAAGAGCTCCCTGACCTCTGGTGTCAGAAATTCCAACACAGTCCTCACCTCAAAGAAACTACTCAAATTAGTTCTCCTTCTGGCCTTCGGTCCTGGACAAAAATACAAGAGAAGCTTCTCTAACTAACTTATTCCTCTCTGGTTTCTTCTGTGCGTTATTTCTCTAAAACACTTCTTCAGATATCCTCTCCTCAGTTTCTGAATCACATGGTGTTAGTCTCTCCTATGGATCCCTGCAGTCAAACTTCCTGTTTCCTCCCTCCCATCCCTCAGGAGCCACTCACCCCATTTTCAGTCTCACTCGCTGCCCAGGCTGTCATTAATAAAAGTGTAAAGTACAGAGTTGGGCAACTCAGGGATATCCTATGGGTCCAGGAACAAAGGAGATGATTACTCTTTCATGCAGGATTTGGGAGGAGGGATTTTCCTCTCTCTGAAGCGTAAGGACAAAAACAACCAGCAGACTCGGCTCTCTGCCATCTCTGCCTGGAGCACCTGCCTGGAATCAGAAGCTCACCTTTCCCTAGTGGGTCAGCACCGTGCATGACACACAACTTGCCTTCTAGTTAGAAGCAGGGGCTCTTCCAAGCTCTCTTCACTGCATGGCATTCACATTCACTTCATTCTGGGAGCCTGGCCTTGTGATCTAGCCTGACCATGTGACTGATCTGGGCACAGCTCTTCTGAACACCAAGAGTTTCCACTTGTATGGCATTTCCAATTTTTCAGACATTTTTGCATAGATTTTATTAAGAACCTTATAATAAACCAATGTTGCGGTTGGCTGTGTATCAGCAACTTCATCTTACAGACTGAGACACTGGTTAGAAGGCTGGTACCAAGCCACCAACAGTTCCTAGCAGAGCTGATACCCCAAGGCAGGAATAATGGCCGTGACGGAATTTTATGTTCTGCTTCTGGGCTTTTCTTATTTTGCTTTTTCCTTTTCTCTCCTCTGTCTTTCTTTCATTCTCTTTCTTTCTTTTCTTCCTTCCTTACTTCTTCTCCTCCTCCTCCTTCTTTCTCCTTTTTCTTCTCCATCTCCTTTTGACTCTCACCTGACCCAATTCCCTGCTGTGTATCTTCTTCTCTCTCCTAATTCTTTCTGCTATTATCCTAGACATGAAGCCCTATGCAGCCATCACTACTTACTGACTGTGTGATCTGGTGCACATTTCTTAAGTTCTCTGAGCTTTAGTCTCCTTGTCTGAGAAGATGTACTAACTCCTACGTAGTACTATCCTACAGTACTATCCTGAAGTACTTTCCTAAAAATAGTAACTTCTACATAGGGCTGTATTGGAGGTTTAGTGAGACTATTATATAGATGGTAATAGAGGTAGAGATGCTGAGGTGAGAGAGATTGTGGGAAGATAATTGATAGTCCCTGGCACATGGCTGGCAATCAGCAGGTATTTCTTTGCTCCATTTTTTGAGCAGCATGGAATGGTGGCTAAGATTGTCCACATTTGTTCCCCAGTCACCTGTGTGATCCCTATCATAGAACTGTTGGATTTGATTTATCAGGAGACCCTGGCTGTACCTCTGTGACTGGGAGCCGTGGCCAAATGAGAAGCCTGATAGATGCAGTCAAAGTGATTAATAGCAGCCTGTCTCCAGAGCTCGGAGAGTGGCGAGTGAGATGCATTGCCCCGACTGCACTCCCAATTCTGTATTGTCATACACGGATGTTTGGCCAAGCGGAAGCCTCACAACCACAGCGCAGTGTCTGGCTGCAAGCCCTGGATTTCCTGGGTCACCAAGACAGAATCTCTGAGTGGAAAAGAAAATGATCCAGGACAGTGGTATTTACCCAGAGCAGGGTGTGAATGCAGGGTGCACGTGCAGCTGCCCTCCCCTGGCTGGCTTCAAACTGTATAGAGTGTGAGCCAGGGAAAGCATAGCCAAGGCGAGCTCATGCAGGTTTTGCCCCCACTCCCGCAATGCCATCATCTGCTGCTATCTCAGTGAGAAATTCATTGGCAGGACATCATGCTCAAGAATGAAAGAGCCAAATCTAGAGGAGAGATGTGTCTCATTTTCAGAGATTGTCATTGCTGTCTTTCACCCATCTTCTGCAAAATAAATTACATTATTTTTCAAAGCCAGGTACATAACCAACTTCATTCTACAGATATCCAAATGCCTTTGCGTGAAAAGGACTATGCAGAAAGAAACTCAGATGTAGTTTAGTGACATACTAAAGTTAGGATTCTCTTTCTTGACCTTCACATCTTGAACACGGCTGTCAGAGCATTCACTTGTTCTATTCCAGGGGAATTAAAAATGAGTACATCTTAATCTTCCCCAAGCAAGTTATCAAATTCACGGTACTTGTGGGACTGTACTCTCACTGAAATAGGGAATTGGTGGTCCTGTCCTGCTGGACCGGAACCCCTGCTCTCAGCCTACCAGCGCAGTTAGAAAAAACACCATAGTTCCTATTTGAAATTACACAGTTAGCTGATGATGTTTCTCTTGGCTTCAAGTATAAAGGCTGGTGCCCAGAGCCAATTTTTGGCAAAACTGAAAAGAAGAAAGTTTTTTTTTTCCTTCTAACATTCTCAGCATCCCTCTTAATCATTTTTCTCTTGATCTCCCTCCAAGTTCCCCCAGACTTCTTTCTTCCTTTGCTTCATCCACTTGTGAACTCGGAAGCAACTAAAACATATATTCTACATCTCTAAGTGGTTGATAAAATCTAGAGTAGTGCTTTGCAACCATAAAATGTGTGTGAATCTCCTATACTATTTGTATTGGCCTATTTTCTGTTTCCATAGCAAAATACCCAAGGCCAGGTAATTTGTAAAAATAAGAGATTTATTTAGTTCAAACTAAATGTTTTGTTTGATAGTTCAAACAACATGACAGTGGATCTGGTGTGGCCCTTTCAGCCACATCACTTCCTGGTGGCTGACATCCTGGCAAAAGTACCTGTCAGGGTGAGAGATCACTTGGCAAGACAGAAAGCAGATAGCAGGGAGGGGCCAGGTTTGCTGTTTTGTAACCTCTTTGTGAGAACTCTGTCAGAGTCCCAAGGGAACTTGAAGCATTCCTTTCTAGGGTGGCACCTTCAATGAGCTAATTACTTACCACCAGGCCCACTTCTTAAAGCTTCTGCCACCTCTTAATCCACACCGTGCATTAAGCTTCCATCACAGGCACTTTTGGCAGACACATGTTAGTTACCAAACCTCACCCAAACAGTCATGGAAATGCAGATTCAGAACCAGTAGTTCTCGGGTGAAGTCTGAGATTCTGCATTTCTAACAAGCTCCTGCTGATGCTGTTGTCACTGGTCTGTAGACTACACTGAGTAGCAAAATCTTAGACCAATCCCAAGGGGAACAGATGGCAATAGGGCAGGTTTCCTTTCCCACTCTGGTTTAGGGAAGTGTGTGTGTGCATTTTCCTTATTTCCTCATGACTAGTTACAGCCTGTGCTCTACTTAGATCATGTAATAGTGTTGGTTTGCTTAATCAAAAATTTAAATTAATTGTTTCTGTTCTCAGTGACTGAGGCAGAGCCTTAATACACTTTTTACTTTTATAAACTTGTCTTTTCACAAAATATCCCAATCTCTTATTTTGGTAAAAATCATTCATATTTAAATTATTTCTTACAAAAAATTTTTTCTACTTTATGCTGGAGACAGAGATAACTAAAGAGGAGTCCCTAGACAGGGACAAGAGAGTTTGTGGCTTCTGCCCCAGTCTTATCTACTACTGCCATTCATTGCATCTTATAAACTGCAGGAAGACATAATTTTCCTGAGAAACTGAAGGGTCTGAAGATGGAACTCATTCTAGAAGGCAGAATCTGGTTTATAGCCAGAGCCAGGACCAAAGCCTTAGGTCCTCAGTGACACAAATCGGCTGTCACCCCTGTCTTCCACTGGCTCAACGAGAGGCAGTGACCAAAAACAAAAAGGCGATTTTCATGAATGATTCTTGCTTTAATACCTTTTTAACAGAATAGAATGCATCTTGTCAACCTCACGGTCTACCCACTGTCCCAGCAGAGGTATTCACCAAAGCCGGGCACCTGAAGAGAGTGGTGACAGACATGGCCAGCATAGACAGTAGCAGTGCCTGCCAGAACAGGAGCGCCCTTCATGGAACTGCAAGGACAGAAAGATGGGGAGACGGGCACAGAAAGGGGAGAATGTAATGATGCCATGTAAGGGATGCCATCTCCTTCAAGATCATAGGTTGCAAATGCTCCAGACCTTCCAAGAATACAGTGGTATCTCAGTTTCTGAACTTAATTCTTTCCATGATTCTGGTCACAGAATTCAATTCACGATTTACTTCAGTTCCACATGCAGTTGAGTTGCAACCAGAATCATGGAACAAATTCTGCAACCGGGATTGTGGAAAAAATTAAGTGTTTGAACTAAGGTACCTCCATATTAGGGGAGAGGTGCAGTAAGGAGGACTTTGCAGGGGTTAAGGGTCTGCATTAATCAGTAAGACTAAAAGCTTTGGACTATGAACTTAATTTATTCAAAATCCCATGAGCTTAGGCCTCTATTCTGTGTTACCTAAAACCAGCACATAAGCTAAGATAGTTGATTTGGAGTCTATACACGTGTGCCATTCAGAGCAGGTGTTGGTAGTTGTCTAGTGGAGCTCCTGTGTATGATTTCCTTTGAGGAAAGGTTTCGAAGCTACATACCACCCTGAGAAGGATGTTTTCACAGGACATGGCCAGCGTGAGAACTTATAACCTCTTCTGTGGGTAAGGACAAACAGGGGCCCAGCTAGGGGAAGTTATGGCCAAAGAGGGGATTCCAAGGTATAAGCCCTTCCTACTTCATTAGCTCTACATGCTGGTGAAATTCAATTCCTAGAAGACATGGAATCCAGGATTGTTGTGGCAGCTTTTAGGGCAGAAAGAGGATTTTTGGAACAGGTGCTAAAATCACTGGGAAAAATCAATGATGGCCAAGACCCCAGATCTCTCAGGCTATTTTTAAACCAGAAATCAAGAAGCTATTGCTCATGCTTCTAGTTTTGTAGTGTTCAAATTCAGGCTCCATCACCACCTGGACTCTACAGTTTTGCATGTCCCCAGGGATGGAGGACATTTCCAAATTAACCAGGAGCCAAATCAGAGACCTCATTCTACCATGATTGAAATGTTCCAAGTAATAGGATTTTGGATAAATTAGTTATTCATCACGAAAGAGGTATTATAGATAAATACCATACCTCATTGCTATTCTAAGCTGCCCACCAGTCATATCTTTTAAGGAGAAAAATAGTAGGATTAATGTGATTCTGAACAGTGATCTGCTTAATGATTTCAAGGTTTTTATCTGGAGAGGATTTCAATAAACTACTTTAAAAGAAGTGGAAGGCAAAAAAAAAAAAAAAAGATGTGTGAAGGGCTTGTATAATTGCTGAAAGGTTGGTTCTCCAGGGCAAAAAATCAACAAAAAGGGTGAATGTTATGGGAAGATTTTTAAGTACTTATTCAGGAAAACTAAATAGAAAATCAATCAGGAAAATAAAAAATTCATAAATCCAATTGCCTCTAATTGGCTTAGAACATAGTACAGAATTCAAAATGTTTGCCTGTGAGCAGTTCAGTCTCTTAAAATTATGGCTCTTATCACAGCGAGAGCATTTGGGTTACATTTTTCTTCAATCAGAGAAAACTCATCAAGGCTGAAGCAATCCTTCAAAGGTTCAAACTGAAAAACTCATCTCAGGCATTTGTGGAAAAAATCTTACTAAAGATTTACTCAAGCGAGGGAGGAACATATTTTCATCTCTACTCTTTAAACATTTATTAAGCTCCTACTATGATATAGCTGTAGGCTGGGCTCAGAGAGAAAGAGAGACAAAAAAGTAATGAGCCAGGTTTCCTGAGAAGTCACAGTTTATATGAACTCACAGTTTTGAAAGGGGAATGAATGAATGTCTAATTAGCTTTAGGACAGAATTGAAATAGTAAGTGCTTAAGAGAGATATCACACAGCAGAAGAGGAAAGGGGCACTGATGATTTCAGACTAAAGGGATCTGTAAACTATTCTTGGAGGAAGTGGAATCTATTTCAAGGGTAAGAAAAATATTTCCCACAGGAAATAAAAAAGCACTTTGAGCAAATATCCAGTGGAAAGGTGAACTAGACTGGGGCAGTGTGAACTAATTTATCATAACTTAGAAGAATTGGTGTATAGTGAAAGTCTGAAGAACATGACATGTATGTTGAGAACTATAATCTTGGCCTCTTTATCTCTAAATTCTGTAGGCATTCCTCCTTCGTATGTTGTCCTCATTTCCTTTAGAATGAAAATATCCTAGTCAGTATACAAGCCCTTAAGTGTTAATGACTCAGAAAAACTATCCTTTCCAAAATGTATTTGCTTTTTAATTTTTTACTATGCATTAGTTTAAGAAATAGAAAAATTCAAGATACAGAAATATTCATAATTTAAATAGTAACTACAACTCTAAGAAGCAGCTGGTCCCTTTTCATTTCTCATGAGCACTTTCAACATTCTAAACCTCGCTCAGTGTGTTTTCATAACAGAGACATGGGAAAAGAATCACATTATTTTCTAGAAACCACCTTTTTCTGGTGGAGGGATTTAAGGCACCTGAGTGAAGATGACATTTTCAGGCAGGAGGATTTACCTAAGAAAACCTCTGGGAGTTATCTAAGCATTGTGGGAAGAACACCTGTTTCATAGACAAAGTTCTAGGTTTCAGTTGCAGCTCTGCCTCTGGGAGCAGTGATTCTGGAACAAACTACTTTGCTGTTCAGATGCTGGACTTTCATGTGTGCAAACTGGAAGTGGTCACTGATCACCAAGACCAGAGTATGACACAAAATCCCTTTAACTCACAACAGGAGATGACAGCTTATGTTTTCTATAGGCAAGGTCATCCCCAGTACAGATGTAGCAGAAGTGATTTCCAGAAGGGCCCAGCATGATGGGAGTTCCCAGAACCATTCAGTTTTAGTCTGCAGGAGCCTTCTTTCACACCCTCTCCCACTGTTCTCGTGATCTTTGGGTCCTGCTCTTCTTAGCCACTTTCTTCACGTTGAACTGGTCACCAGTCAGACATCTCAGGAAAATTGTTTCTTCCATGAGACCTCTCCCTCTTCAACCAAGTTAGGTCTGATCTCTTCCCACTCCCTTGCCAGTGGTCAGTGTCCATACTCCTTGTTAGAGTTTAAGACTCACGAGGGTAGGTACCAAATCCATAGTTGACTGCCTGGCATATGGAAAATTGCCTCATATACTCTTATTTATTTATTTAAAAAGTCTCAACCATTTATTCCCACAGTACCTAGTATTTACAGAAAGGTAACAGCTACTAATTTAGTAGAGGCTGGGTTTTTTATGAGATTTATACCTTAGACTAGTGAGTCAAACTTCAGGGTTTAACTGAATTACCTAGAAGGCTTGCTAAAACATATGTTGCTGGGCTCATACTCTAAAAGTTCTGGGGTAAGGATTTGTATTTGTAGCAAGTTCCCAAGGGATACTGGTGGTGATGGACCAATGACTGTATTTTTAAAAGCATTGCTATAGGAAAATGTGGGCTGTCTCTTTGGACCTTTCACCCTTATTTTCTGCCTCACCCATACCTGCTTTTTATGCTCATCTTTTCAGAACTACTTTTGTTTTTCTTGGGTGTATTAATAAAGGAAAGAAAAGAGGAAGGGAAGGAGGGAAGGAGAAAAGAGCCTGTTAAAGTTCACTGCATTATAACAGACATACCACTTGGGGGACTCTGGTGTGCTCAGAGTGACGCTGTAGCTGCCGAGGAAGAATCCGCAGTCACATCAAGTAGTATGTGATGATCTTTCTGAAAGAGCCAAAGGCAGCACCAGGGCTTGCTTAGTCTTCCACATAGAGCTTTGCTTTTAGTGCTAGTCTTGCTAACATTTAAATGTCAACATCATGACCCTGGAGATCTATGAAGTGCAACAATAAATCCCTACAAACTGGCATTCTTCTGCTGCCCCATAATATTGCTCACCTGCTTTGCATACTGGCCATCTTTTGCAAAGTGGGACAGATGAATATTTGAAAAGTCAAGAAAATATAGTAGAATGCTCTGTCATAAAACATTCTGTTTCTGTTTGCGATTCAAAATATTGGATTGAGTCTTACAATGGAGAATTTAGCTTATTCTTTTTATTTCTGTCTTGATTACAGTTAAGTCCTGGAAAAAGGCCTGGGGGGAAATGAGTTTCAAGAGAGGTGACGATGAAGTGATAGTTTGAAATTAGGATTCAGCATTAAATTTAATGCAATTCAAGGAGCATCTATTATGCACTTATTGGGTTAAGCAGTTCAAAATAATTCCAAGTGTCAGATACTTTGTTAATAATTAAAATGTTTTATGCAATTATGGTGTCAGGTAATAAATTATCTTATTGAATTTGATCAGCTCTATAGTTGATCTTATTACTATGGCTACCCCAATTTGCACATTGGGAACCAGGCACAGAGATTAATTTAGAAAATATAAAAACAAACAAAATATGCCATGCCCAGGGGTTCATAGTCATTAAGCGGTGAAATCAAGAATCCCACAGGATAGCGGACTCCCGAGCCGATGCTTAGGCACTGCAGGGATAGCAGAATGGGTGGGAATAGGAAAAAGAAGCAAAGAAGGAGACGGTCTTGATTCTTGACAAGTTTAAAGCCATCAAGGTGCCTCACAGCAGGAGCCGGGACTCTGTCATATTTCTTATAAATCCTTGTAAGTCTTAGGGTCTTCTTTTCACAAAGGGGAGAACTCTACTGTGCATTATATCTGCCATTCCTATAACCTTCTCCTGTCCATCTGATCTTCACAAATACAGAAGAAAGAAAATGCCCGCTGGCAGAGAAAATAGCCTTGGAGAAGCCTGTAATTCCCATGAATTGAGGAAAGAATGGTGTGGAAGGGATAGATGGACAGAAAAGTAGGAAAGGGTGAGCAAGGCTAGACCAAAACATGTTGTTTAACCCTGAAGTCGGATCATTTGCCACACTTTAAAACGTTGTTCTTTAAATATTTATTCAACATTTATTTAAATGAGAGGCTGAGTTCTGCCTGGGAAAAGGATAGAAGAAAGTTTGTGCTCATTTGTTCCACTGTCCTACTTTAGTTCCAACCTCACAACTCAGCAAAGCAGAGGTTCCATGGCAACTAGGATCTAGCTACTCCATATGTTTTCCACCTACCTCAGATCTCATTCCAGCCATCATCTGTTGTTTCTCTAATGTGCACATTGGGGGCCTCTTCCCCTCACCCAGAAAAGACTTCTCTGGTAACAATTTGGTGTCAAGTCATAATTGTCTTACACATCACAATTGTATGACAGTGCTTCTTATAGAAGGCGTGCTGATGGAACTGACCCAAGCCTGTCTTTAATCCAAGACAAGGAGAGGTACATTGGAGAGGGTCAAGTTCATGATTACACAGGGCATTAACCTAAGGGCACTTGGAGCCATTGGAAATTTTTAAAAGAACTAAAGTGGCTTGTGTTCTAACAAGCCTGCCCTGCCAACAGCAGACAAAACACTTGCATCTTGCGCTAGCTATGGTTGGTGGATCTGAAGTGCTGAGGACAAGAAGCATGGATAAAATTAGAGCTTCCCAGTCTTACCTCTGCCCAGGTGCCTCTGTTTTGATTTTTTTATGAGTAATTATTATTGCCATTGTTACTATCATCACCATAATTTGTAGGGCCCAGTACTAGATAAAAATGCAGGGTTGCATAAAAATTTAAAGAGAAAACCAGCAGCTCAGGAACTCTTCTGAGCCCATGGCCCTGTATCACCATATAAGGCACATGACCATGAAGCCAGCCCCACTAGTAGTCATCCTTTGCCTAAGTCAGAATTGTCTGTGGTAACTCAGTTATTTTCTGTTTAAACTTCTTACTGGTACTGACTTTATTTTTTCCAGTTTATAGTCTGCTTAATATCTTCATTCTGTATATCATATGATATTTGTCTACTGTCTCTGAATATCTCATTTCAGACCTTACCCACATAAGATAGGATCTGAAAAACTGAAATAGATACTGTCTAGCAGAAGCTGCTTTTGTTCAGAAGAGCACTACAATAATTAGTCTCAAACTCACAAACTGACACTGGCCAGGCTAGCAGGAGCACCTGAACACATGGAGTTCCTAGGTAGGGCAAGTATAATTGTATGTTAGATTCCTCCATAAAAGAACTACAGAGAAGTATAAGAAACACAAGAGAGTCTTCCTACACTCAGAGCTTATAAACTTGCTGGAGAGTGGCTTAGCCTGTTTTCTGATGCCATAACATAATATATGAGACTCAGTCATTTATAAAGAAAAGAAATTTATGTGGCTCACAATGTTGGAGGCTGGAAAGTCCAAGAGCATAACACCAGCATCTGGAGAGGACCTTTGTGATACATTATCTCACAGTAGAAGGTAGAAGGCAGAATTGAGAGCATGAGACAAAGAGATAAAAAGGTGAAAGGCCAAAACTCCTTAATTATCAGAGTTCACTTCTGGGAGAACTAAACCATTGCTGGTGTAACAGCATTGATCCATTCAGGAGAGCAGACCCTCCTCCACTAATAACCTCTTCAAAGCTCTCTTCATTCCATCACAATGGCAATCAAATTTCATCATGCATTCAAACCATCACAGAGAGAAAGAATATAAAATGCCAAATCTTGTGCAGCACTCAGCAGGATTGTGCTGAGAGTTGTATCTCACTTCCTGTATCCTACCTCCCACTTTTGGTAGCCGGAAGTTGGCTTGCCCCTGTGGCATGCCTAGTCTCATTACTTATCTTGTTGTGTCTCAGGTGTGCATCTCTGTGCTTTAGCAGTCTCTTTTATAAAATTAGGATGATAAGAGTCTCAATCTCAGAGTGTTGTGAGATAAAATGAGATCATCTATTCCTGGCTGTATAAGTGATTTGACTTAATATTTTCTACCTTTATTCCTCATTTCTCTCCTTAAGTAGACAAATCTGATCTCTCTCCATCCAGGTTGTCCTTGCTGTAATTTTGCTTGCAATATTCCCACCACTTATTGTGTTCTCCCTTCTCTTGACTGCTGTTTAAATACAACACAATCTTTACAACCTAATTTAAGTCCCAAGTCCTTCACCAACCTTTCCTTGATTATTTAAGCCCACATACAGGCTCTTAAAGCAAAATTGAGTATTGAAAGTACTTAGGCCTTAGAGTGTAGCCAGTTCACTGCTTAGGAAATTGAGGCTGATAGCCTAACCACTCTCTTTTTCCTAATCTTTTGCTTTTGTCACTGATCTGTATCTCCCATCACAACTCTTAATTACCCATTGTCTTTGTTCCCACTGCTTCTGTCTTAAAGTTACTCAGCTTTCATATCTCAGTTCAAATGATTCTGTCTCATCCAAGTCGTCCTCTTCCTAAATGGGGAAATTGACTAATATACACAGAACAGGCTAATCCTTTCTCGTTGCTGCCTGTTTTTCCCCTTGGCAGGCTTCATCAAAAAGCAATCAGAAATCACTGCTGTTGTTAGTTGTTTAATGCCCATCTCCTCACTCACTGGAATGAAAGCTTTTGTTCTTGTTTAATAATAAAATATTTGCTGGCTGCTTCTGAGGGTGCTTACCAGACCTGACTCTTGGGGATTCCATGGTGAGCTGAACAAATTTGGTTCCTGCCTTCATGGATTTCATATAGGGCTACAACATTAAGAATGAGCTCTCAGGACAGGGGATTTAGCTCACTGTTTCTGCAGCCTGCTTCACAAGTACGAGGACCTGAGTTTGATTCCCGGAACAAAAAAA